GTAGAAATTAATTGACGAGTTTTCTGTTCTCAAGGTTCACTAATTACAAGTTCTAATATAAACCTACTCCCCGTCAAAAGAATTAAAGGAAACAAGAATTTCTATTCCTCGAGTTTAACAATTTCGCAATCTTTTGCACTTTATATCCTGTTTCTTTTTCTCTGATAATTTTAACTCTTCTGTTGCACTCGGCACACGATTACTCGTTCCTCTTTCTACGACAATGAAAAAAGTTACTGTCCAAATGTAAATAAATGCAAAGGCGTTACTTTCTTCAATCGATGCAAAATAATGTCAACAATATTTTTACATTGATCTTCAGCTTTAGACCGAAAGTTAGCGACCGAATGTCGTAGAATGAATCTTCATTAATGTTTTTCTGAGATTTCGTCTTCTCTCTGGTATTTTATCGTACCTGTGGAACCTCCGTGCCTGCGGTACGGCACTGCCGTATAACACGTGTAAAGCTCACTCAAGGGTGGGATAATGTTCTCAGGGTTCAGGTCGGACAGTTTCACGACGACCGTTGACGGTGCGCGGTTGCGGTACTCGTTTCGCAGTCCCGGTATGGGTTTCGTACAGTGTTCTAACAATTATTAGAAACATTTTACACGCGTGCTAAGCGAAAAGAATTGTCATCTGTGACATCGCACGCTTGGAACACGTATGGAATACCACCGTTGGATTCACCGTTATTCGTTTCTCATCAATTTAATTCATGATGACACAATTCGTATTATCAAAAACATTTTCAAATTGATCCTTGGCTTCGGAAGTTAATGGTCGAACGTCATGAATCTTCGTTGATATTTTTTCTAAGGTTTATCGCCTCTGGTAGTTTATCATCTCTCTTATCTTGTCTCCTCTCTCTCTCTCTTTTCTCTCTCTCTCTTCTCCTCTGTCGCTGATGTTTTAATTCTTATGCCTGTTATACAATACGTCGTATGTTGCTGTCGGATGTCGGGACGTAGCCGATGGTCCAATGAGAACATTTCTTTTTTGAAAAGAAATTTTCTTATTGACCCATCGGCTACGTCCCGACATACGACGTATTGTATAACAGGCCTTAGAGAATAAATTGCAAATCGGGGGGGGGGGGATGATACGACGCATAGGCGGGATTAAAGTTAGCCCGACGAGCCATTGTTAAAAATGATAGAAAACTACGCTTGTGCAATATTCTGTTGCGGAATTGATTACCGTGATAGTTATTTGCGTTTCATCACGAACGTGCTGCACGCATAGTACAATGCGTATCGATGTGCTACGATACAAATCTCAAAAGCGTCCTAATTGTTGCATTCGCATTTTGTTCATCGAAAATCCCACTCGTCCTTACGCCGAGACTTAATTACTGAGTCTCTTAATTAAATTCACGCGATTTTCGCCAACGAGGCCGCAATTGTATGCGCGTCACAGGCTACTGGTTATCACCTTGACTTTGCCCGCAGACGTTTTTTTCCAAGAATAAATTCGTACGTCAATAAAACAGAAAAAAACGTACGTGCTAAAAGGAAAAATTCGCGTTAGAAATTTTCGTGAAATTATATCATCGTTATTCAATACTGATTACATTATCGTTGTTTGATACTGGACTTTTGATTCCTCAAATGATGGTGTAAAGACAGCGATAATTGAGACTTCTGCAGCGTGGAAACGTTTTATCAACGATTAATAAATATACCGGGGCAATAAAATCATCACGCGACATTCTAGCCTTTAAAAAGATGCTGAATAATTATAAATTATCGCTGCACCGTTTCCAACGTTATCTCGCTTTGTTCCGCCTACGTGATATCGTTTAATATTATTTCACGATCACGCGATCATACGATCGCGATACGAAAATATCTTATGCAAAAAAATCGCGTTTTTACGTGCGACCCGTTGACGGCAGCGTAGTAAAACCCGACGCGTAATCGTAATTCCATTGTCATCTGCGCGTGGAGAAGCGAAGGTTACACATTGACTACGTTCAGCAGAAAAAGCTGCTTTGCAACTGTTGTAAAATTCGTGAATCTGATTGACGTATGCTCTTAAATTCATTCAACATTTAAAAAATACGCCAATCAGATTCGCAAATTTTACAACAATTGCAGAGCAGCTTTTTCTATTGAACGCAGCCATTGACTTTGCGAAATACCTAACGTTTGTATCGAAATATTTCAGCTGCTTCGTAGCACAGCTGCAATTTTCTCTCCAGGTTTGACCTAGGCGAGTACAATTGGTCGGGCGGATCGGAACAGGCAGACCCCTAGGATCCCCTAATATATTATCGCTAAAACTTATCCTTTTACGGCGCCATATGGAATTTTCCGGTATTGTCCCCAAAGACCGTTCTGCCCAGCCACGTGTACATTCCACATTTTAAAGCAAGTCACACGGCGTTCTGGCGCGATTGATTTTTAACGATAGCTGAAAATTGTATTCTTGTAAAAAGCGCAAATCGAACAAATCGCAAGCTCGACGTAGTTGGCGTCTTTCACGTGAAATTAATAATAAAAAGATATTACGCATAAATGCAAATAACAAAATCTTTAGTTCACGGAGGATGAAGTATTTTTACAGCGGTGCTTCAGGCTTTGTTTTATAATAGTCTCTTTCGGGGAAAAGTGGAGGGGCAGATTCGAGGTGAATTTTCGAGGGGGAAATCGCTGAGGGCATTGTGGTGTACAGATTTACGGCATTTTTAGGCATTGTTTAGGCATTAGTTTGAGCATTAGGCCTTGCTGGGACATTATAAAGATAAAATAAGATAATAAGATAAAGTAATGCCCACTGGGCATTAGTGGGCATTGGTGTACGAGATTTTGGTTTCCCCCTCGTGGATTTTCTTTAAGAGTAATGAATCACGCTCAGTTATTAATTAGATTTTGATCGACGATACGCAACATAGATCTAGTTGACGTTCATTAACTTCTATTAGCTGACAGAATTCCGACGGTATTCAGTCCGCTAATACACTCCACGTGCTCGAGACTCGATCAATTGGGACGTAACCGGCGCGGACGGCGTACCAGATGCGAGCCATTGCACGCGTAATCGTAATAAGCCTTTTACGACGGGAGATTTCTACGATATTTACACGAAAGAAAAACGCGCGTGTCAACGAGCGTATCAACGTGTATCTAGACGTGGAATAAAGCATACGTTTGACAGCCCCGGGATGTTTCTTCGCAGGGAGAAGAATTCCTGCCGCAGTCGCTTCGTGCGTTTGAGGCAGCGAGAATGCGAAAGGTGATTAGATTAGACGGACTAGATGAAAGTTACATCACGTCTATCGTACGAGCGTGACGGAGGGGTATAGTGTTTCGAGAAAACGAAGTGCCGCGATAAAATTACAGACATTTCACGTAACGAAAGTTGGACTTGCGAAAAATGGAGCACGTGCGGTTTTACTCCACCTTAACCGACGAGGAGAGGACTCGAGCGCACCCTTGCAAGAAGACTAGGTGGTAGGTTCTCTTTGCCGAGGCTCCCCCCGAGACTATCGCGCTCCCTTCCCGAATTCCATAACACCCGGGTGAGACGTTCCCTCGTCATCTGCCATATCGGCGATCTACATCGGCACGTTAAAAAATAAGCGTACTGACGTACTAGATTCCTAAAGTCTGATCTATAATGTGCTTTTTTATTTATTTAGAAACATCCTATTTTTTACTAGAATTCCTCTAATCAGGGTCTGGCCTTGGTCTTTCTATTTCTGGCGACTTCCGAAAGAAAGAAAAAAAAAAGCGACAAAGAAACAGAAAGAGGTAGAAAAAGCGAGGTTTTTCTCCCTCGCAAAAGTTTGCCAGAACTTGTTGACCAGAGTCTGATTATACGGACTCTAATTTGTACAAACTATACAGGGTGTCCCAGGAGGAAAGGTCAATAATCTGGGAGGTGATTTTAAGCAAAAATGTTCATACGAATGTATGTGTCCCATTCCCCACTGTTTCCGAGATAGAGCTATTTGAATGTACAGTTGCAAAATCACTGGCAAGAAAGAAATACTACGTACTATTTCTAATATCTATCGTTCACGATTCGGACTTCTGCGTGTAGGAAAGCGTCGACGGTATTTTTCAACAGCGGCAGTAGCACCACCATCACAGAAACCGTAAACATACTGCATATTCGACATTTGTGAATATGCGAGGCATTTTGAACATTTCTACAATGTTATCAGCACAATAGTCAACAGATGTACAAGAGTAAATTCCCGCAGACGTTTATGAGGTTGGATGAAAGGTGAAGTGTACAGAAAAAGAGTAAATACGCGAGACATTCAAGAAACAGTGGGGACGTATATTCGTATGAACAGTTTTGCTTAAAATGCCCGATACTATCACCTCCCAGAATATTGACCTTTCTTACCGCTTAAAAAAGTTGTACGATTGTACAATGTATGGTTTATCAACTTGCACACATTTTTGAAATTGGCTACAAAGTATACTACCATGATCAAAAAGTTCCCGGAATTTATTCATAAAATTGAAAATACAAAATTATTCTTGCAAATCGATTAGTACATTGACTACGTTTCCACCGAGGGTCAGAGTCGGGCTAGAGTCGGGTCAGAATCGGGTTGGGGCGAGCGTTTTTGCGGTGGAAACACCAAACCGGGTCAGAATCGGGTTGGGGTTTGGTGTTTCCGACTCTGACCCTCGGTGGAAACGTAGTCAATGATGCTACTTTCACAAATGTCAAGCTATGATGATGAAATTTGGCAGGAATGACAGTGACATTTGTGGCAACACTCACATAAAATGGTTGTTGAATCGGGTGACCAGGGGCGCTACATGGTGGCAATTCCGGGAATTTTTTGATCATGGTAGTAATGTTTCCAGGCGCAAAGAGCACGTTGGCGCAGGTCAGGTTTTATGATCGAAAATCGAAAGCTTCGACGCAAATAGCGGTCTAACTCGAGAACTTGAATCGATCGAGTGAATTTTCTCAACTGTAACACTCCTGTCTAACCCCCGAGTAAAGTGCATTGACGGTTTCGTTTGTTGCAGCGTGATGATGGCGCCTACCGACGACTCGTCACCGGCGCAGGCATCGATATCCACGAGAGGTTTAGACGTGCTGGACGACGCGAGATTGAACAAATTCTCTCTAACGTCGCAACCGACGAAACCTGCGGCTTCGCCGATCGTGGACACCGACGCCGACGCGATAGAGGAAGCAGTACCGATCGTGCAGACGAAGCTACCTGTGCCGGAGTCGGAGCCGAAAATCGAGAAGAACGGCATCGAAAGGAAGCCGAAGAAGCCGCGCGACGAGCCGAACGACGAGTGTCTCATCAATTGCATTTACTACACGCAACAGTGCTGTGACTGCACGATAGTTTGAGACCGTGCCACGTCCGTAGCTAGACAACAAGCCGAGGGAAGTGGCGTCTTGAGGCTACTCTCCAGTCAGCTCCGGGACCTCGAGGCGGTCCCTTCCCTTCGATGCGAAATTTAGGATCTGACATTACAACGAGTGATTGCGCGCCGCTAGGATACTTTGTGATACACGACGAGTATAATAGACAAGTTCGCACGGGGTGCGGTGTAGAAAATTTTGTAAATGTACGAATGAATGTGGCGATGCTCGTAATTATATACACGCTAATTTTTGATACTGTCGCATTTATATTTTATCGAGCATCGGCTGTGCGATTAAAGGCGCTTGTCACGAAGCACATGGGTAACTGATTAATTTATACTTTTTAGAATTTACTTCTCTCGGTAGAGAAGGTACTTGCGAATGTTCACTGCCGTTTACATGATGTAAAGCTCGAATGGGAGACGTTACAAGAGTCGATTGTTAATTCATAAGCGTTCTCTCGCAGTACGTTGTGGGGCAATTTATTTGCCACACCGTTACACGTCTTCCTAACAAACTGACGTTAACATGAATTAGTCAATCCATAATGCGCACTCGACAGTATTAACCGCGACAATCATTCCGACACTTGTATCTGTTCGTAAATTTATAAGGTGAAAAATTGAACCTGTAAGAGGACGCGTATATCCATTTGGAAACAAAAGCGACAGAAATGATATCAAATTAATTTCCAACATTGATATAAAAATGCGTTTGTTATTAACGAAGAATCTTCCGATAAGTTTTGTCTAACGTGTCAGGGCAACTAAGAAGCGTTTCGACAGCGCGGCTGATGATCAAACTGAATTTTCTTTTACAACCATCTTTGCATGTTTATTTGACTATTTTTATTATCTAGTAATGTATGACAATACAATCTTCCAAAGTATTATTGTACGCGGATAAAATAAGTAAAAACACAGGTTGCAGATGATCCAAATACTCTTTGCACAGTGTTTCTTACATTGTACATTGTAATTCTGTTAAAATTTCAACTCGATCATTGCGCTGCGCTGCACCAGTGACACAGGAATTGCAAAGACACTTCGTCCATGTTTCATATAAATATTTATATAAATATTATATAAGTATTTATATATCAATAATAATTGGAGACTGCAAGCAGTGTAATTTATTCAAATTTATTCCTAGATGAGGACTAGAGTAGTTTTGTAACGTTACAACGTACGAATTTAATGTAAAGGTAATACTAAATAATAATATTCTTTTTTTTTATGTACTGTGGATACTTATCTCACCTAAAAATGACGTTACACACAACCTAAATTGCGAAATTAAAATTTCGGTAAAACAAGTAAGTACAGTTAGGTGCTAAGGTTCTTATTATTAAAAAAAAAGGAGTCAACAGTTGCATATTCTCAAACGCGCGTTAATTGAAAATCTAAAGTACTGACAGCGTCTATTGCTGATTCGACGTTTTAGGCAGGTTCGCGATACTTTAGTAGGCGCAGCTAATGTTGCATACTTGTTTATTTTGTAGTCTTTCGTCAATGGTAAAGCAAGTTAATCCGCAGTTACTAATCTTTAGAATCGATTTTCACCACTTTATTTTTCCGCTATTTAGTTTTCTTCTAAACTAAACTAATTCCTTCTTTCACCCCTCTTTATTATAATTCTCATATGACAATTTATAAGGTGAAAACGAATTAAAAACATTTCCACATTGCTAGACTAAGGACTAAAAAGAAATTTTTTAATATAGAAAAAAAACCCATCATTTTAGAGCAGCAGAAATCGACTGTATGGTTTTACTTCAGAAATCATTTTCTAGGAAAGAATGACAATTAATGAAGGAAATTTAATTGAAAAAAGACTGACAATAGTAATTTTTCTAAACAATAATTTGATGAAACCAGTGCAAAAAATGCCAAACTGGCTGTATAACACAGCTATGCTTCTACTGCGTTACGACTCGTACATAGGTAACGGATGACCCTCCGAATTGAATACCCACCTATCCAAATCTATCAATTGCCTGGTGTCATCGAACAACAAGTACAAGTATTTCAAAGTCTCTGCGAACCAGAAGCTCTCCGTCATGTCTTGCTGGCGTGTGTGCTGAATGTTTCGGACGTTACCGATACTCGTGTAGCCAGCTTCGACTTTAGTGTGATTCTCGAAAGCCTGCCGAGACGGGTTTCCATGTTAAGAGTGAAATTCTCGTGGGAGACAGATATTAAACTCACCTGAAATATCTGCCAACCCCAATCCTGATACGTTTTATTCCCCGTAAAATACCACATGTAAAATAGACTCTCAATCAACTCGGGCCTCAGTAAATTATGAGCGTCGTTCGTTTTCACGTACATATCCATTTGATTTTCACCTTCCATTTTCTACAGAACGACAAAACGATAATCAGCAACATTGTCCTCCCGAGTAGTCCTTCTGTTCGAAGGCCGAGACCAACGTACTTGTATATTAAAATAGGTAATTTCAGGTGCGAGGAACGTCGGCTGGATCGCGTACGTTTGATAACAAGTCTTAACAAGCTCTTCCGCGAGAGCGTTGTGCTCCGGCGGCAGTCCGTGGCGCACGCCTAACGCTAAAGTACCTCCCAGGTAGCACGTGAGATGATCCTACAATATGAATTGGCGCATTTACAACAACTGGCGCGACAAACCGCTCACTTTTGCGTTTTTCACCTGCTTACCATCTTCGGTTTAATCTCTTTATTCGCGCCGACCAACTCGGCGATGAACAGATACTTATTCACCGCGGTACGTTTAACGAGATGCTTTTGCGTTCCGGCGATGCCTAACAAGTAATCGTCGCGCAGGCTGAAAATATCAAAAAGGATGCAGGCCTTGTTAGAGACTCGATTTCGCGCGATCGCGGCCTCGACAACGAAATGTACTAACTAGTCGACGGTTTTTCCAGTTTGCAACCACTGTTTCAGTAAGTATTCATAGTAACTATCACCGCGGGCTCCCAACGTGATCGTGGCGTACTCTCGGAACTGCCCGGTATTGGCGTTGATAAAGATCGGGACTAAGCCGTCGTACTTCTCTAATTTATGTACATGCTCGGAAACCCTCGCCGCTGCAGTCTGGAAAGATGACGCGTTAAATACTCGCTACAGACTTTAAAAGTCGTTTCTAATAGCGCATTTAGTTGCTTGCACTAGTGCGTACTAAGGCTTGTTCACAGTCAATTCTTCAATTTTCTTAAATACCTCTTGAAACACTTGTTAGTAAAAGGATCTGTACAGCATCCGTACCGATCATTTTGTTTTTTGCTGAATAATTTTGAAACGTGTTTAAGACGACCTTAAATATAAGAATTGACCGTAAAAAAGTGCAAGCAACCGAATTCGCTGTTGAACTACCTCGAACTTGAGTTGTCCCGTGCTACGACTAAGATCACGAAACTCCAACTGAATGGACGTGACTTCGCTCGTGCTACTGTCGGGGCCCCACTTGGGACTGTGCGCGCTTCTGGTACCGAGATTCACGTCCGAGTACGGGACGCCCGATCTGGTAGAGAACGCCGGCATCATGCGATCACCTAAGTCCATCTTGGACATCGTGGGTAAACATTAACGTCAGAATCTTTAGAGACCAAACCAATAGAGAAATTGCGCGCCCGATACTTACAGCCTTATTTAAAAAGAGTATATCACCGGAGAGATGATACGCCGCTAGCAAACCACCTAATACCCTAATTGTAACTTCAAATAAATTAACATCTCTATTCATTGTAAACACTAAATTATCTTCCACCCATTTCCTCGCTCTCGCGTACTCTGAAACATCACAGTGAGTAGACTCCCATCATCGCTTTCCTCTTTACAAGGTTTAACTCGCATACGCACCATCGTACAATCCCATTATATATATAGTATCCAATGAATCAACTATAGTGAGGCCCAGGCCAAACCACTCGTGATACCTCTTCGATATCGGCTTGACATTGTCGTGGCCCCACGCATACTTTTTATAACCGTTCCAGGAATGCTTGAACGCAGCTACAACAGCCTCTTGCCTGCTGTTTTGCGGCCCTAAAAGTCCCAAGCGTTACAACCCGCGCCTATCTAATCTATTTGTTGCGCCGTCGTCCGACGAATTAATCATCTACCGTTAAATTTCAGGATGTTCGGCTTTGGCTGCGGCGGCTCGCCGATCTGATCGTCGTCGACTTGATTAATCTCCGGTTGAAACTCGGGCTCTTCGATCACTTCGCCAGGTCCGGCAGCCTGCTCCTCGTTATCTACAACAACCTCGTCTACTGCCTGCGAAATGAAAGGAGACTTGAGACGCGTTCTCTCGCGTTCGAGGGCTCTTCTCGAGCCTACCACTGCGTACCTTCTCGTACTTGGCAGTTTCCTGTACAACTTCTACGTTACTATAATCTACCTCATTGTCGGAGGTACCAGCTTTGGTTTCGCTAGGCAGGAGGTAAAATATTACAAGTAAAACTGTGATTATTGCGAAGTATAGGATGTTCCTTTGGAACCTGGACAGCTGGTTCCATTGCTGAAAGAGAGACGAGTGTGTTACCGAGTAACAGGGGTTAACCGGTTCGGCGAGTGTCCCTCGCCGAGGAACAAATACGTACCCTCCACAGGCTGCGCGAGGTGCCCCGCGCGAACAAGCCGCTATCGTGGATATTAAGACTAACGTAATCGGAATTGCCCGAGTCTCTTGGCGAGAACATACTTGCAGGCAGGTTACCTCGTTCCGGCACGTGCGGGGACTGGCCGTGGCTGCCAAGAGGTTTAAGGTGCGGCACTGCGACGAGTCGACGCGACGCGCGAGGGTCCTCATTTATACGACTCGCCCGTTGTACGCACTCGGCGCGTTTTTACATTTTCATTCAATTCATATTATTATTGCTTTGTTAACGTGTAGCCCGCACATGAAGCAGATGGCGTTCACGTGCTCCGCTCTCACGCACTTCGACCGCGTACGTGTGTGTCGGTGACTCTTCCCCAACCCAACGGTCTCAACGTGTCGGTCGCGCGTTTTCGAGAGCGATCGCCGGTCTTGCGCAGTCCGGCGCAGCTGGCGCGGTGGAGTCGTCGCTCGTCGCGAGAGATAAACAAAATAGTCGCTGCTCAGTCGTTAAGATACAGACCGCAATGTGCCTCGCGAACATATCCGGCGTACCGGATAAACACTGGCAGCCGCCCTTCGTCGTCTTCGAGACCACGTAGGTGCCCCGCGCTCCTTCTTTACGCCCTTTCCGACACCGAAGGATGACTCTGCTTGTGGCTCACCCGAGTGAGTAAATAAACAGGCAAGAATCGTACAAAAATCATGCTTTAGTACAATAGGCGATTTTGGCGATTATCTGGTGCATATACCAAGGTGTACCAGAGTGTACACTCGTTGTCAGCATCATGAAGTGCCTTTACAGCTCAAGAAAGACGCCAAGAGTCGCCTCACGGTTTTATACCAAAATGCCTGTGTAAACTTGCTGGTAGATGAGCGACAAGCAGAGGATCAATTTTGTAAAAGAAAGGCAAAATGAAGGCAAGCATGAGTGTAATTTATTTATATCGATATCAATTCTCTATCTAAAATATAGTGAAAATGCTAAGGCCTGATTTCTCATTTTCTGTTGAACTGTTAACTAGAAGTTAGTCAAATCTTCATCTCTTTTTCTGTATTATTACCTAAGAAGAGACGAATAATCGACTATAACCTCTGGTCAACGTTTAACCAGAAAGATGGAAAAATCAGGCCCAAGAGCTGCTTTCTCTGAGAGCTCACCTTTAGCATTTTCATCATGGATCATTCTTGGGTGTAGAAAAGGCATTGAACTTAGGACCCAGTCTACAATGAGTTGTCAGTCAGAAGTTGGAACTACACGTCGGTCTCTTCTCGTCCAGAAAGAAAAAGGATTCACATATAATTCCGACTTCTGACTAACAACTCATTGTAGACCGGGTCTTAAGTTCAATGCCTTTTCTACACCCAAGGATAATCCATGATGAAAATGCTAAAGGTGAGCTCTTAGAGAAAGCAGCTCTTGGGCCTGATTTTTCCAGTTTTCTGGTGAACTGTTAACTAGAAGTTAGTCGACTCTTCATCTCTTTTTCTGTATTATTATCTAAGAAGAGACGAATAATCGACTATAACCTCTGTTCAACGTTTAACCAGAAAGCTGGAAAAATCAGGTCCAAGATCTGCTTTCTCTGAGAGCTCACCTTTAGCATTTTCATCATGGATCATCCTTGGGTGTAGAAAAGGCACTGAACTTAAGACCCGGTCTACAATGAGTTGTCAGTCAGAAGTTTGAATTACACGTCGGTCTCTTCTCGTTCAGAAAGAAAGGAAATTCGCATATAATTCCGACTTCTGACTAACGATTTATTGTAGGCCGGACCTAAGACTCGTTCCCTGCACGTCGCCAATCGACTCTAATCGACTCTGATCCTCAGGATGGGCGAGATTACCTTCGAGCTCTACTGGAAGCACGCCCCCATCACGTGCAGGAACTTTGCCGAGCTCACGCGACGCGGGTACTACAACGGGACCAAGTTTCACAGGGTCATCCGCGACTTTATGATTCAAGGTGAAGCTAAAAACCGTACGAATAGCCGATCGACTTGCAACTTTTCTGCGAGAGCAGAGTTTTCGCATACGCTTCACCTTGGAATGAATTCAAGAATCGAGTCCCCGCAAGGGGAGAATTTTCGCATACGTTTCTCTTTCGAATAAATTGAAGACGCGAGCCCCAGGCCCGTGTCCCGACTCCTCTTTTATCGATAAAAGAACGTGGGTTAAGTTAGCCCCACTTTTTCAAAATGCGTAAAAATTAATTGGAGTTCTCGATGCCCCCGCAAGAGTTTTAGAGTTCTCTATTTTATCTTATTTTATCTTTCTAACGCCCCAGCAAGGCATAATGCCCAAAAAATGCCTGGTAATGCCGCAAATCTGTACACCACAATGCCCTCAGCGGTTTCCCCCCCTCAATTTTAACATAATATCTCATTCCCAACGCTCTCGTTTCTAGGTGGAGACCCCACCGGGACGGGGAAGGGCGGAATGTCCATATACGGCGAGTGTTTCGACGATGAGATACACGACGACTTGAAGCACACGGGTAATTCCATGGCAAACAATTAACAATAACGTTGCTTTAACCGCTGCCTTATGCGGCTCTTAACAAATCTCGATATTCTGCGCAATGATTACACCTCAAGTTTTGGGGAGGAAGGATACTATTTCACTGAAAAAAAATTCCGGCAGTCTTAACGCGAGCACCTTGGCTACGTGTTATTCAAATTTTTCTATTCCACAGGCGCTGGAATATTGTCGATGGCAAATTCCGGACCGGACAGCAACGGATCGCAGTTCTTCGTCACGCTCGCGCCTACTCAGTGGCTCGATGGAAAGCACAGTATATTTGGTGAGTCTCGGCAACATAGCTGCACCTATCTACGACGTAGCAGTTTGTCACGCAACTATAGAATATGCAACCGCAGACGATGTGTGATTATGTAAAATATCTCTGTTTCTTCGTTCGACAGGCAGAGTCTATTCCGGCATGGCGATAGTGAAAAGAATCGGACTAGTCGAAACGGATAAGAACGATCGACCGGTGGACGATGTGAAAATCGTCAAGGGCTCCGTGAAGAACGCGTGACTTCCCGAAAGGGGATCTTTCATAAGGCGTAAATCGTAATTTTGTGATTTTTCAAGTAAACTATATTAAATATCTTTCTTCATACATGTCTCCATGTTTCTCTTTCATGCGCCACGATTGATAAAGATAGCTACTAGAGCTAGAATGAAAAAGATGTTCTCGCTTTACTCCAGTTTACCGCACTAGTTCCATTGCAGTCCACCAGTGCAGCAATAGAAAACGAACCTATTGTCACGAGACCTAAGACCTAAAGT